TTGAATGGCCTCCTGGACTCACAAGTCGAACCTGTGTTCTTGACCAGCAAGCAGACATTGACTCTGCCCACTCCCGGTGATCACAGTCATTTACCAAATGCTGCATTTAGAAATTGAGGGATTGTGGAGGAATGTAAGTCCTGCTGGGCAGTGAGTGAATGAACAGCCCTGACATGCAGCTTGGGCCAATCCATGAGTTGGCTGACTGTCCTTGAGTATAAAGTGTCCTTGCATCAGCATTGCAATAATAGGAGCTGGAGCACTCCTAAGTCATGGAGTCATCGAGTCATACAGCACAGAAACAGACCCCTTGGTCCAACTGATCAGTGCCAACCAGACATCCCAATTTGACCTAGTCCCATTTGCCAGCATTTGGCCCACATCCCTCGAAACTCATCCAGGTGCCTTTTAAATGTAATAATGTATCCACCTCCTCTGACAACTCATTCCATACACGCACCACCCTCTGTGTGAAAAAGTGTCCCCTATGGTCCTTTCTGAATCTTTCCCCTCTCACCTTAAACCTTTGCCTTCTAGATTTGGACTCCCCCACCCGAGGAAAAAAGACCTTGGCTATTCACCCTATCCATACCCCTCATGATTTTATTTACCTCTGTAAGGTCAACCCTCATTCTCCAAAGCTCCAGGAAAAAAAGCTGCAATCTATTCAGCCTCTCCCTACAACTCAAACCTCCCCAATCCTGGCAACATCTTGTAAATCTTTTCTGCACCCTCTCAAGTTTAATAACATCCTTCCTATAGAAGGGCCACAAGAGTTGTGCATAGTGTTCTAACAGCGGCCTCACCAATGTCCTGTTCAGCCGCAACGTGACAAGATGGACATACAGAAGAGCAAATAGTGAGCTGGAGTCACTACGTACCCCTCTGACTTTCATTTCAGGAATTCTTGGTGTCTGGTTTTTTATCCGGCAGGTGGGAGAATGGGAAATGACATATTATGAAGCGAGATTAGGTAGTAATGAGGGTGATGTTGAGTGATAATAGGCTAATCGGTCCCACGCCGCACACTAATAAGAATATCATCTCAAAATTAATGTTGAAAAGGGACTTGCTCAACATCTCGCCTGCTAAAGCCTGCATTGTTCAGGAGGATTCAGCCCAAGGTTTCATGGAAGTATCACTCGATATATTTGGAAGTTCTTTTATGTTACAGCTTTGAGTGACTTTATATTCCATCACTCAGTTTTTGACTCTGCATTTAAAAGATACTGTACTAGCAATACAGAGCCAATGCCACTTTGGCTTATAAGTTATTGAGAAATATTGATCTCCTGAACCAAAAAAATGCTCTCCAGACCTATCTCTAAAGCTTGAGTTACTAGCATGTCCAGCAGAATGGTCATTGTCCTCATTAGCCATTTAAAGCAAAATGGCCACATGCAGGATTATACTGAGGCAAGCATTAATGTGTCAAATCTAAAGATACTCAGTTAGAAGTAATTATTTTATTGCTATGTTATTATTCTAAAGTATTGTGGTTAATGACTGGGAATTAAAGACTCAAACTATTTTACATCTCCTGTTTTCATATTTTTGTTTCTTTTTAACCTGCAAACAAGCAACAAGATACTATTTAACCTATTTTCTTCAGCCTTGTGTTGGTGGAATCCTCTTTCAAATTTTGAATTTCTTTGCTAGCAAATGTAGACAAACCATTAACTTAGAAACAAAAGAAGTAATTTTTACATTATTGTTTATGTAGCAGTTTTCATGTCTTCAGGATATCAACAATTGCTTCACGATAAATTAAATACTATTAAAATGTTGTCACTTTGATAATGTGGACAAGTAAAGGTAGACAATTTATGCATGGCAAGATCCCAAAAACTAATGTGTAAATGGTAATCTGTTTCAGTGATATTGGTTAAGGGATAAATCATTCCATAAAATAATTTACATTCAACTGAAGGGGCAAATGTTTAATTGGCTTAATTCCTCATCTGTATAACCAGGTTAATCCTTGTCAATCCTTATATGAATTTATCAACCAGGTGAGATGCTGATATCTTAGCATCTCTCAGAAATAAATTGTACTTGTTTGAAAAAAATCATCCTTGCTGAGGATTAGAATTAAACCAGATGTAAGCATGCTGCTGACTTTTCTTTAATAGTTACATATTTTATTCCCTGTTTTTCCCATGCTTCCTGCAGCAGAAAAGTCTTATAGACTGCCAATCCTCTACCGTTCTGAATCTATAGCAACCACTCCCAGTATCCTAATTATAGAAGGTGCAACTGGCCAGTTAAGTGTCTGACTGATGCTTATTTACTTCAGGACTTCCTTACAGAAAAAAAAAATGAAGGGATCCTATTTGTTAATGAACTCTTTACTGATTGTGGTTTAGTGAGTTTTAATTGTCTTTAATACATCACACAAGTGCATTTTTAATGTAACAGCCTTGACAGTAAGAGTCATCAGGTTGTTCAACCTAGGCAAAGAGATGAGACATCACAGTTGAATCTTTCAGGCAGCAGTGGTGAGTAGCAACCAGAAGTAGGAATGATAACTGATTACTTTTCCTGCGGTTTGCATTAGTAATGTGCGCTGTATTTCCCTTACTGTGCCTCTGGCTAACAACAAATGACTCAGCACACAGAGTGTGGCTCTAACTTAGGAGCTTCACAGCTCTAGCTCAGATCTACATGGTATAGAGTTAAAGTGTTACATCCTTTGCTTGTAGGTCGAAATATTAAAAATAACTTGTGTGGAACTATTCAGCAGATATTTTTACCTGCTGCAGTTGAGCCTTTTGTGGGGTAGTTGAGAAAGAATATTTTCCTACATGAAGCTTTTAAATTTGATTTATGGAGAAGGGAAAAAGGAGAACTGCTGACAGTGTATAGGAGTACAATAATGGTGAAACACTTATGTTATGCGTAAACATCTACTTCTAGTATGAGTCAGCTGGTTTGAATTCCATATGTTTTTGATTTCTGATGTCCTAATGGAACCTTCTTCAAAGAATTTTTAAGATTGATTGACGATCTCGACCACCCCATCCCTAACACTTTGTTTTTATTTTGTGCTGACAATAATATTCATTGGCACAAGTTCCACTACAACAGAGACAGGACATCATGCAGTTATCTTTATGAGTCATCCAAACACAATACTAAATACATGTCAGCCAAGGAAATATTAGTCGAGAGGAAAAAATGCCTTTGATGTACTTCAGCATGCAGTGATTTGTGCGGAGCCTGAAACTTGTAAGAAACAGTGTATGCTTATAGTTTTGTAATCTTACTAAGAGACTATGAGACCACCCATTGCTTTAAAATAGCCCTGTCCTTTCAGCTAAAACTATACATTTTATGTCTAACATGGTTCCTCTTACATACGGAACTTTGAACTGTCTTGCAATGTTTCTGTTGGAAGACGTTAAAGCAAAAAATGAAATTTGTCAAAAACATATCCCCATCCCCGCCAGCAAATTGACAGTCATTTGAAATGTATAGACCTTATTAGAACCTGTGAAACTGGAGAAAGATTTAAGAAAGGTTTACAGGCCTTTACAAAGAGAAGGATCAGCCATGTGACAGTTTGTATCAGATATTCATAGATGCACGAAATGCAGTCTGCTTGGCGTGCTAAATCCCAGTCAAACAGAATAACAGAATACCCAGTAAAAACAACACAGATGGAATTTTTGCAGCTGCAAAAGAGATTCTCTTATTTATTTGTATTGATCTTCATGATGCTGTTGCCAAGAGTCACTTGGCAATGACAGAATATGTTGACATGTGCATATCTCACTATTAGAGGGAATTGGGCAGATGGATTCTCTGTTGTCTGTGGTTCTAGGCAAAGAACAAATTATATAGGCACCTGCAAATCTTCGCGGTATGACTTAGTCAAGGACAGTGCATTCTTAATGTATAACAGCCTTGAGTAAGAGTCATCAGCTTGTTCAACCTGGGCAAAGAGATGAGACATCATATGGTTCATATGAGACATCATATTTATTTCAGCCAAACATGTGAAATTTCTCCTTCACTTGCTCCCAGTTTCAAGCCAAAAGAGTTTTTCAACAAGTTGTCTGGAAAGAAGCTGCATCACAGGGACCCAGAAAATCCTGTGTTTGGTCACTGGGTCTGTGCAGGGCTTACTGATCTCAGAGGGTTCACAGTAAGGATGTTATCATTAGAGGGCACAGAAATGTGATTGAATGAGACTTTTACCCATTAGTTTTCTGCTTCTCTAGCCCCAGTCCAAAGTTCCAGAAATAGAATCAGTAGAATATTTGGACTGGGCACTCTTGCCTGTAATGGTGCAATAAATGTTTCCTCCTCTTGGAGATGGTGAATTTTTCATTTTCCATATTAGCAATACTTTCTGAATTAAGTTGCTAATGTAATAGCATTTTTGATGCAGAATATATAGTTGATTAAGAATTCTTCTGGTCACCATCTGTAGCAATAAAATAAAACTACTTATGAAGACAGGCATTATTTAGTAATTGTGAGCTTGTAAATATTTTAACAACAATTTGATCAACCTGTTCAGATTGGTATGATACTATTCCAGCACAGGTGAAACTTAGAACCTTGACTTTCTGACTCAGATAAATGGACAGTACTATTGCAACATAAGAGGAATGTTTGCTTTATTTCAAAATGAATTTCAAAGCCATTTTATATGTTAAAAATATCTCTTGCGTAAATTTTCCTATTTTAAAATGATATATTTTACTTCCATGTTTTGTATTTCACACACACTACTTCCCTGCTTGTAAGAATATGTGATCCTAACTGATCTGCTTTTCAAACTTCACTGTTTATGAAAAAACAAGATTTTTCTTCACACCTCACTTGATTTGATTGTAGTCATATGTTTTATGGAAGACAGACTGTGTCCTCTGTAATACGGTACTGGGGCACTAACTCCATGAAAGCCAAGTGTCATTTTTTAAGTAAGTAGCAAAATTGAAATAATTTTATTTGTAAGTTTAATCAGTGTATTTTTTTTTGCTGTTTGTCAGGTCATGCATATTTTACAGAGCTTGTGATGACATTCCCAGAGGAATGGAGCTTTTGGTCTGGTACAATGATAGCTACACCTCATTCTTTGGGATTCCCTTTCAGTGCATTGCACAAGATGACAATTGTAAGTATTTCTTTTCGTGGTTTTAAAATAATTTGAACATGGAATGTATCCCTTTCACTGCCATACTCTAAATGCTAACAGACTCTCCATCTGGCTTTGAATGTGTTTAATGGGTGGAGCTTAGGCTGATCTCTTCTTGTCAAGGCTTTGTTTTTTCCCAAACAGGTCAAATCAACTTAAAATCATACTGTGCTGTTTTTTACTTCATGACCCTGATAAAGTTCAGGGCATCTGGACTAAATATTACAGTTGAGAAATGTAGAATTGAAATTTGATGGTCATGGTGTCGTTCTAAGAGTTGTCTAGCTTTGTAAACAATTCTGTTCAAGTATTTGCTGATAATGAGTTGCTATCATGTTTTCTTTATGCAAATAAGTGTTCTAAACTTTAACAAGTGTGCAAAAGAGAAACTGCAACACTAAATGGTTTATAGATAACTGAGCTGTTTAACATTCTGAATCTTGTAATGCAATATCATAGGAAGACCCAACTGCAACATTTCATCTTGTCAACATTGAGCAGTAAGCTGGCTTCTCTCTCCTGTTGAGTATTTTGGGTAGGACTGTAGCCATGTTGTGCTACCTTGGAATGCCAACTTACTTGAAAATAAGTGGAGTTCAGGTAAAGAGAATGAGCTGATTGTGAAACTTGATTTCTCTGCAGTTAGATAGCTTGCAGTAAGGAACATAAGAGACTAGGGCCCTGATTTTCATCATGATATAGAGCATTATCGTTGCAGCAATAAGGTCAGGAGTCCTTAGTGCTACCTCTGAACCCAGCCTTTCTTATTTTTATGGCTGTGGGAACGGAGGCAGCTGGCCATTTGAATGAACAGCATCTCCCAATGAAATTAGATGTTAGAATCCCTGGTGTCTGGAACCTGGAGTTTTGAGATTAGACCAGGTAACAGAAGATATGTTTGCAGTGCAGTTCTTTCAGATTTCCCCATTCGAGGAGCTCAGGTATCCCTGCAAGTATGAGCCAATCGCTTTGGGAGTGAAGGTTAAGGATCCTTTTGGAGTTGGGGAGGGCATGTTGGGTATCCTTTTTGGAGATGGGAGTCATGGGTCCGTGGGGGAAGTCATGTCAAGATCTATTAAGACCTTCCAATAAATGTACTGAAGTGCCAAGAGGCCTTGACCTGTCAAAAAATGTCAAGATATGTCAAATTGTCAAGAATTGTCAACAAGTGGTGGCCCGTCAAGAAGTGCCAACAAGTCTAGGCCCGAAACTGCCTAGATGCTCCTATGATGCTGCTTGGCCTGCTGTGTTCATCCAGCTCTGCACCTTGTGGTCTCGGATTCTCCAGCATCTGCAGTTCCTACTATCTCAGTTTCAAAATGTGTTTTGAAGAATGCAGTCTGTGTCAGCGTGTGTCAAAATGTTCATATGAATGAAAGTGCTGTCCTCTGCAACATAGAACTTCAAGTAATAGATATATAATTTTTCTTCGATATGTGGACTTTTGGATATGTAATGAGTTGATATGGAAGGTTAAAGGGAAAAAGGTGGTGGATGGATGTAATCATTAAGTTGGCACATGGATATGAGTAGCCACGGTGAATGGGCAGACAGAATTGGGCTGCATGGGTTGGCATGGATGGGGCATAGGGAGTGTGTGGAGGTGAGAGTCTGTGACAGATGAAAGCTGAGGAAAATGTTATATTCTGTCCTTTTGGAGGTTAAAAAAAACACCCTTTGGGATTATGAAACGGCATGCTATAAGGCCATAAGAGATAGGAGCAGTAGAGGGTTATTTAGCCTATTGGATCTACTCTGCTATTCATTAAATCATAGTGGATCTAATGTCCCTCAACTCCATTTTCCTGCCTTTTCTCCATAATACTTAATTCTCTTACTGATTAAAAATCTGTCTGTCTCAGCCTTGAATATACTTAACAACACAGACTCTTCAGCCCTCTATGGTAAAGAATTCCGCAAATTCGCTACCCTCTGAGAGAAGAAATTATTCCTCATCTCTGTCTCAAATGGGCAACCCCATACTTTGAGATTGTGTCCTCTAGTCCTAAACTCTCCCACACAACCCTGTTGGGTGCTTTAACAATGTTATATGTTTTAATAAGGTCACCTCTCATTCTCCTGAATTGCCCAACTTACTCAGGCTTACCTCATAAGATAGGTCCTCCATACCCCGCATCACTCTAGTGAACTTTCTCTGGACTGCATTCAAAGTCAGTATATCTTTCCTTAGATAAAAGGGCCAAAACTGTTCACAGTATATCAGGTTTGATATGACTAGTACCTTGTTTTAGCTGGACTTTTGAAGTAAAGGTCAGCATATCATTCCATATTACCTGCTGAACATCTATTGCAGGAGAACTCCTAAATCTCTCTGAGCTGTAGATTTCTGCATTTAAATAATATCCAGCTCCTCTCTTTTCTTTCTGCTAAAGTGTATCACCTCATATTTTCCCATAATACATTCTATCTGCCAAATTTTTTGCCCAGTCATAAAAAGAGCAGAAGCTCATTGGACTGGCACAGATTGGAGGGAACTGTGAAAAAGAAGCAAGGGAACAGATGTCTGAGAAGTATCAAAGAAAAGACTAAAAGACAGAGAAAAATTGGCACAGCCAAAGCTGAATATCAATAGTGTTCAATGTAGAAGAACACTTTATCCATTTGATGATACATTCCTATACCTTTGGAGACTTTTGAACATATACAGTGTTGGCCAATTTAAAGGTCACCTACCATTTTTAAGCAATCCTCTATAATTAAGGCGAGGCCCAGAGCAGTCTGGAGACAAGATCTGGCGCATTCTGCTTGAAGGACTGTTATGCTGAGCTTCTTATTTCTTTATTTTTTTAACTTATTTATAAGAATTGTACCAAGGTACCCAAGATGGCACAAAAGACTACAATGCTGAACTTTTTTATTTCTTTTGTTTTCTAATTTATTCCTAAGATCTTGTAACAAAGTATCTTTGTGCCTTAGATGACAGCGTAAGTGGTGACTTTATAAACTTTTCACTGCACTCATGTGAGTACATGTGACGATGAACCTAATTCTAATTTTAATACTTAACTTAATTAAGAACTGATCTACTTGGATTGATAGCGGTTCAAAAAGATTTGCTAGGCTGATTCCATGGATAAAAGTCTGTTTTATGAGAAAAGGTTGAGCACCTTGGGCCTATATCCATTTGGAGTTTGGGAAAATGAGAGATGATCTTATAGAAACATATAGGTTTCTGAGGGGGCTTGACAGTGCAGATGCTGAGAGAATGTTTCCCTTTCTGGGGAAACAGCAGCACAACTTCAAAATAAGGCAGAGATGACGATTATTTTCTTTCTTTTGGTTTAGTTTTTCCAAACTCTGTTCCATTGAGAGCATTGGAGACTGGGTGATTCAATATATTCAAGGCTGGGCTTGCTAGATTTTTAATCTCCATGGGAGTTAAAACTAATGGCATAGGAGGGCAATGGATGGAGAGTGGGCTAGCAGATAGAAACGTAGAGCTAAAACATCAGTCATGTCAGCTATAATCTGATTGGTGGAACAGACTTAATGGGCAAAATGCCTTACTATTGGTTCTAATGGTTATGTGAATGTAGAATACACCATTACATTATAACATATGTTATGAACAGCTTTTAAACTTATCCATGGAGAGGTTCCTGATTCCAGATGGATACTCCTGCATAGTTCATGAACCCTCTAAGGTACCTCCAAAACAGGTCCTACTGTATGAAAATCCTTAAATGTCCACCAGCTGCAATGCAGTCATAAAGAATGGAAATATTGCATACAGGCTGGCCACTCACTGCATAATCCAACACCCGCTTTTAAAAGGCCATATCATAGGAATTGGAGTGGGAACCTGGATTCTGGGCTTACCCATCTTTTTAAAAATCTTGTTCACTTCCATTTAGACATGGATGAAGGCATGAAAATCTGGCCCGGAATCATCTATAACTGCCTGATTGACCAATCATGATATCATCAGTGATATTGGATTTAATTCATTAGAGCTGACCTAAGATGTGCTCACTATTCTGTTGTTTCCAGCATAAAACTGTTTTTAGTACAGTTAACGATTTAGATAGTCTATAGTTAACTTAGAGGATATAAGCTATAATTTAGAATTGCTTTATCGTATTCCTGTTTTCATTGTTCAATGTGTGTGGTCCAATCATTGATTTCATGTTCTTAATAGTTTCTGTGCAGCTGACAAAGAAAGGATTTGATTTTGTCAATTCTTTTATAATTTTGCAAGATAATAAAGTTAAACACTTCTTTGAATGAGATTGAATTTAAACTTTAGATATCGAATCTTCTCAAATTAATGGTATTCAAGTCAGACAGGCCAGGGATTCAACGTATTCCAGGGAGTTAACAGACTCTGACTGTGTGTCTGATGATTCAGATGTTAAATGTGTAATTGTATAATTTAGATTTTTTTCTTTCCTGACAAGGTATCTCCAGCAAGATCCGGCTTGTATTGATTTCATGTAGCGAGTGTCACTGCTGTTTAAAATTTCTATGCTGAAATACTCGATTCCATTTATGTTGAGTCACTTCTAATACTTGACAGGATTGAAAAAGGTGTTGAAGCATCTCTGTGTATTTTGCATTGTTTACAGTGCCTTCCACCTGGTCCAGTCTCCATTATTGATCATGTTAGACAATGTTGCTGATGCTCCTTGACTGTCTATGTCCCACTGTTATGTAATAAACATTTCCATTTTCAGTTTACAGTGCAGCCATATTAAATGGTTCAAAATTGCATCTCAACTACACTGTGTTTCCTTCCATGAGCTTCTACATTAGATTCCAACCATTACTTTTGTGCTTTGTCGGGCTGCGGTTCTTAGCATTGTCCAAAAGCATCGACTAGACCATTTCAGTGATATGACCCTCCTTTTCCTGAGGGAACAGTGGTTGCCAAAAAAAACTACAGCTAGAGTGAGCCACATCTTCAGCTCCCTCGCATTCTCTTTTGTTAGGTACAAAACTTCTCCAGTAAATTAAACTTATTTATTACGAACAACTCCTGGGTTTAAAGATAGGGATATCATATAAACCAAACAAATTCAAACATTTCATGTGTGCCTATGCTAAAATTTGACTCATCTACTAAGAACTCTGAACTAGCCACGATTACCATCCAGATACATCTATATAAACTTTTCAGCGTTAAACTTTATCAGAACTAAATGCAATTGAGAGCATAAATCCTGATTAATCCACTGCACTGTGATTGTGTGTGCCATAATTATGCCCAAAATTACAGGAATTTAGTTATTATCAGGTTTGGTATCAGGTGCATTGAGAACACCTTCCCTGAGTTACTAAGAAGAAAGTTCACGATTTCTTAAATTTAGCAAAAATGGTTATGGGACCATTTTCCAGGCCTTCAGGAGAATTCATGTCGGCTGTTAGGTTTTGAATTTTGTTGAAACTTGGTGAGCATTTACAAAACAGAATTCTTGTGATGGCCCAGGATCTCTCTTAAGGATGCCCTTTTGATAATGAGGAGGCAGGCAGACTTTTCACCCATGCACGTGCATGCTGCAAAATCTGGTGAGGGTGCCAGCAACAGGGGCCTCTTTCACTGCAACATGACTCACAAAAAAGAGAATCAGGGTTGAAAGGAGAGGGGTAGCTGTCTCACTTTTCACTTCCATTCTTGTGATTGCAGAAACCTTGGGAATCAATCTGAATGCAATCATTCTGACTACTGCTGGAACTGCTTTAAGTAGAAATCCTATCTTTAGCCATCGTTATAGACCCTGCACTCTGTAATTGGTTGGGATCTCCAGACTCTGAATGCCAATCGTGAAACTATGTTAGAGAGTCACAGCAAAGTTACATTCCCCCAATGGGGTTCATGACCCACCCCCTCCCTCAGCCCTGTGATCTAATCAGTTAAAGGATTCTCTGAAAGATTCCACTGACTCGATAAGTCTAGAGACTTTCTGAATATGTCATGGGGAGAATGTTTGACGTTGTAGTGAGCCATTATTGAGCACTTTTATTGTGTAAAAGGGACAAAATTCTGCGCGGAATGAAAATGTCATGCCAATAATGAGGAAGATCCTGATAACAGTGAGGATGGTAACAAAGTAGGAGGTCACCAGCAGTAGACAGCAGCTAGAGTTCTTTGGTAATTTTTAATCAACCAACAATTCACCTCAACCATGCCACAATCTCTTCCCCAACCTCTCCATCGTTTTCCCCTCATCTCAGTTCTCCCCTCTCACAAAACACACCCATCCTACATGCATAACTGTCCCCACCAATATTTCCCTCAAGACTTCCACCCGTCCCATTATTAAAGGATTGCCAATCAAAGAACAACAGCAATGCATAATATTGCATTGACAACAACTACTGCCCAAACACTTTGAAGGCAACTTAAAAATTGGAAATATTGTTATATTTTAATTGTTTACAACAATACCAATAAACAAAATTTTCACCAAAGTGTTAGTGCACAATTAACATTAAATGATTTTTTCCCTCTACCAATTTATGAGGTGCTTTAGCTTGGAAAGTGAATGAATACTGATCATTGGTCAGATGAGGTTGCTTATGGTCAATGACCTCTCTGAGTTGGGGTCTAAGTGGGCTGACTATACACTGCAACATTTTGGTGTAAATGAAGTTTTCGCTGACTTGACAGTGGAGATGGAAAACCTCCAAGAAAATTCTCAATGTTAAGCTTTTCAACGTGGGAAGGAAGTACATGCAAAATTTAGAAGAGTATTGTATGGAAAAGATAAATTCAACCTATTTTTTTCAATTAGCTCTGCAAGAGTTAGATGAAGAAGCATAGTGTCAGACTAATATAAGATATTTAGGATTGATGTCAAGAAATTCTTCATCATGAAAAATATCATCAACATAAGGAATAGAACTCCAAATACAAGTAGCGAAGACAAAACTCTGACTTAATTTACAAAATGGTGAGTTGGGGGAAATTGAGGATTTTTCTAGCTGGATTAATAAATATGGGCTTAATGGACTCCACTTCATACATAACTGCTCTGTGGTTTTGGAATGATGGTAAAAGAAATGCCAAATTTTATTCATAAATTAAGCAAGTTAATCTCATTATGACTACGCCTATCCATAGCCTTATTTAAAACACAGGGTCTCATGTTTTCCAAGCCAGATAATGGTTCTGATATTTATCTAAAGTTCATCTTTATTAAGGAAAACTCCAAGCACAAGTTACTTCAGAATAAAGTTTCAATTTTTGGTTATAAGATTAATTAGATATATCTCCTGTCAGCGTGCATGCATTCGTAAAGTGCAACTGTCAGTAATACAAAATATATTTTTATTTTTTCTCCATTTTATCAATTTTTTTAAAAAATGGCCAGAGCCTTGCCCGTCTATTTTTTCAATCTATTATCTTGGAACTGAGCAGCAGGTAAATTACAACTGGATGGTTCTTTCTTGCTGCTTGATTTCAATTTTCTTAGTGATATGTACATTGGAACAAAATGAGCAAATTAATTCCTTCCTTCCAGCACAACACCAGCCTGATGCTGGCAAACCACAAAAATAGGGGTGTATTTCTCTAGTACAAAGGAAAAGCAAACCCTCTTCCAGGCATTGAGAGAGCTAAACAGAATGTTTTTGGGTAAAGTTTGGTTAATACGATATTCACAATTGTTTGGGATTGCCACGCCTCAGTGCTCGAATTATAAGTTTCATCTCTTTTAAACACAGGTTCTTTTTTCTTTTTTATTCCCTAGTGAATGTCCCATCATCTCTTGTCGATGTAATGACCAGGCATGAGACGTTACAGTCGTTCAACAAAACTGGCAAAATGCCACCCACGGGTGTGTACCGTTCACTGAGGTTTCCACAGACATCATGCAGCAAGTCACTATGTGACAAGCCTGGGCCACATGACTCCATAGCTAACCACATGAATACGAAAAACCAACGAGTACTGGCAAGTCCAACTTCAACCAGTCATTTAAGTGGAGAATTCAGTGACTGGCATCTATGGAAATGTGGACAGTGCTTTAAGACCTTTACCCAGCGGATTCTTCTGCAGATGCATGTGTGTCCACAGAACCCTGACAGGTAACAGAATCGAACACAGACAAGGGAGGCTGGCGAGAATGTGGAACTCGCTACCACAGGGGATAGTTGAGGTGAATAGTGTAGATGCTTTTAAGAGGAAATGAGATAAGGACATGGGAAAGATAGGAGGAGAACGGTATGCTGGCAGTGTGGGATTAGGAGGGGAAACAGGAGACTTGTTTGGGGTACAAATATCATTATAAGCCTGTTGAGCTGGTTGGTCTGTTTCTAAGATGAAAATACTATGCAATTGAAAATAACTGATAGCTTAAATTTCATCATTTTGCTTTTGCACTTTTGGAAGATCAGACAATTGTTTAATAACTTAAATGAAGAATGCAAGCAAACATGTTATTTCCAAAAAAGATTTGTTGTCTCCCTTGGCTCAATTTTTCTCTGTTTTTCAAGACATTAATTGCTGAACAGTAGGTTCCGAGCCTCCATTTGCCAATTTACCACATACCATTTCCGAATTCAAGAGTAAAAGCCAGCATCTCTGAAACCTCAGACATAGTAGGAACTGCAGATGCTGGAGAATCTGAGATAACAAGGTGTAGAGCTGGATGAACACAGCAGGCCAAGCAGCATCAGAGGAGCAGGAAAGCTGACATTTCAGGCCTAGACCCTTCTTCAGAAGTGTTAATCTAGCTCTACACCTTGTTATCTCTGAAACCTCATCAGGTCCACTGGGGAGAGGGGGCGTTGACTACCGCTGAGGCAGCTCAGCGATCATGGGGTTTGGACAGGTAAGTATAAAAATAAATATTCCAAGAGGTCAAGCAGAACTGTCCTGGTGACCCACAGCTGACAATGGGCTGACTTTCACAGCATACCTCTTTGGCCACTGCCACCGCCAATCCCTGTCACCACCCCAATTCCATTGCTTCCTAGGCAGCTACAGGATGAACAGCCCAACAAAACTATTCTTGATAATGCATTAAATTATTTACCTATGTAGCCAACTCCATTTGATTGGCAGCTGATCCTGTCACTAGGAAATTTCCCTGGCAGTGACAGGAAATTGTCCAACTGCAGCTCCCCACTATTTTTCAAGACTTCCCGTCTCCCATGCATGGATTGGGAAGACTATATCCTTTGTGAAGTTTTTGAACACATCAGTCTGAGATTAAAGTCTAACTATTTTAAAAATAAAGCTGACGACCGCGGCAGATTGAAATGGTACATTTTTCAACACCTGGCCCAATAACCATGCAACATTCTTCAAACATATCAAAGGATTTACAAATTGAGATGATGTAAACAGTTGGTTTCACCTTCAGGGCACTCACTGATTGTCTGCAGTCTGTGGCTGCACAGTATTTTACTGTGAATAAGGAACTGCTCACACACGAAGGCAATCACCATATGTGACTTGTGCATGAAAGTCTTAATTGTGAGGTGAAGGTGAAGTTTATGGAATAAAAGACTGAAATATATACAATGGCTTACCCACAATTAGATGAAAATTAGTGTGAGCCTGGAAGGTGTTATGTGAACAATCTACATGCAAACAGAACAACACACAGGCAGCTCACTACAGGAGAGAAATTTATTTTGGGCTGCAGCTGGTGAGTTCCAGGGGTGGGGACAGATTAAGAAATTAGGGTGAGTAGGAGGAGCATAGAGTAGAACTCTGGAGCTGGAGGAAATTCCCATGGTGTGCTGATTTTACACAAATGGTTTTTAATTTTAAAACAAAAATGTTTCATGAACTTGGTAGTTACGGAATCAGCTGAAGAATCCTGAGCTGGAAGCATGCCTGCATCAGGGACAAATTTTGCAGAGCAGACCTTCAATAGATATGAAGCCCTTAATTTAGGTAGTTAATGAACCTAATTGCTCCCAGAATTCCTATGAAATGGTTTCTCATGAGTTCAGCATTGAGGTCATCTTTGGTGTAGATTAGCTGTAGTCAGTCCTACTTCTTTATGTTGGTTGTACAGCTGAAATACAGGTGCAGTGTTTGCAAATTTATAATTCTATGCCTTTTGCACAGAACTGATACAAACTTTAAACAATAATCTCACTGTGTGTCATTTTAAAAAAAGAATGACTTGCATATTCTGCATTATTTTCACGAATGAATTTCTATGAGGAATTCATTTTATTTTAAAACCATTTTATTTGTAAAAACATATTAGGGGTTGAAATTTTGCAGTGGGAGAGAGATTAATCCTGCTAATTTGTGTGCTAATAATTCAAATTAACCTGATGTTCAAGTTGAGCCATGTAAATAGCACAACAAAGTGGAAACGTAGTGTCCTCATAATTTTTAAACTTGGATACCAGTTTGGCGAGGATGTTTTCAAAGTGGTTTCTTAGGTTAAACACCACTACCAGCATAATTATTATGAATGTTTTCCTACATGTTAGATCACGTAACATAAACGATAAAGATCACGTTCTTGTTGAGACAGATAATACTAACTATTTACTGCAATATCACAGACTTCAACATAGCCTGGGTCTGTGGTGTATATTACATACGTATAACAGACTGAACACACAACATTGACTTTAGTGACAAAAAACGAGGTGGGTACTTTTACACAGGAACATCAGATGTTGTGCTGTTGTATAACTGTCTTAAAGGTACACTGCTTGTCTGGTCTGGAATCTACACAATAACACTATAGTTTGCTTTGCATTAAGCGTCTGTACTTAAGTTATGCAAAGAAGGTGGGTGAGTCAATGTATAATGCTGGTCAATGGCAAAGTTACCATTTTTAACCTCAAGTCTCCAGCCAACATCCTCTCTTAATCTTGCAAAACTAAGCATGTATTCAACAGAAGGAAGGAGGCCCTACATCAGCTACTTTAGGTTGATTGATTTCTGCTGGTTCTTGCTGGGTTTGTTCTTTTGAGTTTTCTACTGATGTTTAACGTTGGTAAAATCTGCAGGTAGTGGTGCTGCAGCTGGAAAAGGTCTTGTTTCTTTATTCAGGGTTTTGCATCTGGTCATGGGACACTACAGCTACCATTTCCCTTGGCTTGCAGCATGTCAGTGAGCAAAGATAACACATGGAAGGACACATTGTTTGCAAAGGAAAGAGGAAGAGAAAAAAGGCTCATAGCAGGTGGTGCAATATACAAAGGAAGTTTAAATGATCTGCACTTTACCATGTTAGTCTGTTCACTGATCTACATTAATTGCACTGGAATGCTTAATTCTGTGAGCAGAATTAAAGATTTTAAAAAACTGACATAGCATAAAGAAGATTCTCGAATCTTGGGCTGAGTACATGTTTGTAGAACTCCTGTAGTTGCTGAAATATTGTTGACAAATATCACCCCTGCATTGTCCTGGGATAAATTAGGTACGAAGAACACACAAAAAACTATCAAATACTTTACAGGTGACTTTAACCTCCAAGATCTTCCTAATTGACTTGCGTTCAACTTACAAACATGCATCTTCTCCCATGCCAAAATCACCTACTTCCAACTCTGGAAAATCTTCATCCATCTGCTCCTGAAACCTTCATCCATAGCTTTATTACCTCTAGACTCAGCTATTCTAATGAACTCCAAGTTGGCCTTCTGTTTTCCATCCTCCATAAACCTGAGCTCATCCTAGTTCTTCCTCCTGTATTCTAACTCACATCAAATCCTTACAAAGATGATAGGAACTGCCAATGCTGATTTCTGAAGAAGGGTCGCGAAACGTCAGCCTTCCTGCTCCTCTGATGCTGCTTGGCCTGCTGTGTTCATCCAACTCTACACCTTGTTATCTCACATCAAATCCTGTTCTCTTATTATCCATGTGTTTCTTGACCGACATTGACTCCCAGTGCAGCTACTCCTCAAATGTAAAATTTGCATCCACATGTTCAAAAGGCCTTCATAACTCTTTCAATTCCTCTGCCCATAGTCTTTATGATAACTATTTCACCAATTCTACTTAGGTGCAGGACCTGTAGCTGCATAGCCCCAAGCATTGCTGACAAAGCAGCCCACTTAATTGGCATCCCATCCATCACCTTCAGCATTCACTCCCTCTAGTGCCAGCAATGTGTATAATCCACAAAAAAGCCCTGAAGCAACTCACCAAAGCTGCTTGTACAGTGTCTTCCCAATTCAGGACTTGTACTACCTAGAAAGACAAGGGCAGCAGATGCATGGGAACACCACCATCTGCAAGTTCCCCTTCAAGACAGACACCATACTAACTTGGAAATATATCGCTGTTCCTTCAGTGTCACTGGGTCAAAATCCAGGAACTCCGTCCCTAACGACATTGTGGGTGCACCAACACTAATGGATTGTGTGGTTCAAGAAAGTGGCTCACCACCAGTTTCTCAAGGGCCATATTGAATGTGCATAAATGTTGTACTAGCCAGTGAAACCCATATCTTATGAATTTCTTTTTGTTTTGAATGGATTTTGTGTGCCAATAGACATTTTTTTTAAAATTTTAGATTGTGACCCAGAATGGTAAATAATCCAGCCTTAAAGGTTTATTAGAGAGTTCTAGAATTTGTTTTTTTAAGCTTAGTGATACCACCCAAAACTGAGAGACAGAGACTTTTAATTTTCTTTTGACTGTGGAGTGGAGCAGTCCTGTGAAATTCTTAAAACAGGATGGCTGTACACAGCAGTGCTCCAGAGAAGGGAAAGATAGACAAAATAAAGTGGATGAAAAGTTAATGTTAGTCTCAGACCGGAAGTGTTAGGATAAAAGGCCTGAAGAGGTCACTTAAAGTCGAGTACAGTGAAGCACAGAGGTGTGGTAGTTCCATGAAGAAGATATCACAGTTCCAATCTAAAAGTTGAAATCACACATGACTTACACCTAGCAGGCTGTTAGGCGCAAGGACTCTGGTGTGAGTATTATTCAAGTGATGTTTTGGGAACTATTCCAGGGTGCATTTTGGGTACTATACAAAATCTTTTTTTTTCTTTTTAATTTAAAACTAAATGCTTAGAATTAATGGGATTATACCTTTACTGTGTGTTTAAATTCTTTGAATTTGTAGGAGATAATTTGGATTATTCTATTT